AGACTATTACTGTTCATTGCCTGCTGTTGGATAAACATGAATGCCAGAACAAGGGATAGCTGAATTAGGGTCTCCCAGGCACTAGGGTTAGGTGCCCTTTATATGTCAGTGCTACATAATTGCTGAAAGCCTATACTGCCTGATTTCATACCCCAGCTCCATCAGTTACTAACAGTGTGACCTAAGGCAACTTACTTAACCCTTGTGTGCCTCAGTTTTCTCATCTGTAAAACACAGGTAATAATAGTACCTACATCATAAGGTTGTTGTGAAGGTCAATGGAAACACTCCTTGAACACGGTATGAGTTAAATTTATTCATTTTTTCATTCATCCATTCAACAAATATTTGTGTAGTGTCTACCTATGTGCCAGGCACTTTGCTTGGTACTTAAGCTATATCAGTGAATGAATCAATGATCCCTGCCCTCTTGTAGTAGCCTGGAAGGGGTGGGAGCAGAGAGAACAGAAGAGAAACAATGTAATATAAATGTGTTAGAAAATAAGTGCTCAAATACAAAATAATAATAGGTAGAGAAGGATCAGGAATAATGGGAATGCGGCAGAGTTGGAAAGTTGACAGTATTAAATAGAAGGGTCAGAGTAGGCCTCAGGGAGAAGCTAAGATTTGAACAAAGAATTGCAGAAGGTAATGAAGATAGTGTAGATATCATGTATCTTTTGAAGAGCATTCAAAGCAGAGGAAACAGGTAGACCAAAGTCCCTAATGGTGGGAGGGTGCCTGGGTGTTCTTAGAACAAGACGGCCACTGTTGTTGGAACGGGATCATTAAGGAACAAAGTGGCAGGAGAGGAGGTCAGAGAGGTATTGTGTGTGGGTGTGGGATGGGGGGTAGGGCTGTATAGGATATTTTAAGGATTTTGGTTTTTACTGCAAATGAAATTGAGAGATTTGTAGGCTTTTGAGCACAGTGGTAACATGATCTGACTTAATATTTTATAAGTGTCTCTCTGGATCTGTGTTGAGAATTGATGGTTTTGTGGATTGAATTGTGTCCCCCCAAAAGATTGCTCAAATCCTTACCCACCCCCTTGTACCTATGAATGTGCCCTTATTAGAAACAGGGTTTTTGCAGAAGTAATCAAGTTCAGATGAGATCATAAAAGTGCACCCTTATTCAATAACCGATGTTCTTATAAGAGGAGGGGAATTTGGGCACATAGACACACAGAGGGAAGACAGCTGTGTGAAGACACACGCACACACACACACACACACACACACACACACACACACGGAGAACACCAAGTGAAGACAGAGGCAGAGATGCATCTACAAGCCAAGGAAGGCCACCGATTGCTGGCTACCACCAGAGATTAGAAGAGACAGATTGTCCCTCAGAATCTTCAGAAAGAATCAACCCTGCCACAACTTGATTTTAGCCTTTTAGCCTATACAACTGTGAGAGAATAAATGTCTGATGTTTTAAACCACCCGTTATGATATTTTTTTACTGCAGCCCTAGGAAACCAATACAGTGGGCAAGAGTAGCAGTTAGGAGGCTACTGCAATAGTCCAGTCAAGAGATGATGGGGGCCAGGATCAGGGTGGTAATGGTAGAGATGGTGAGAAGCCATCAGATTCTGGATACATTATGAAGGTACAGCCAACAGAATCTGCTGACGTATAGGATTCGGTGCATGAGAAACGTTAGCTATTGTTATTATCTGTGTGAATAGTTTAAAATATATACCTATAAATGTATATTTTTTCATTGTCTCAAATATTCCAGGTTTGAGGCTACACAAACAAGGATCATTTGCCAGGAAAATCAAAAGAAGCTTATTTGCTGTGTGATCAAAGGATAAATCACATTACTTCACTGAGTTGCAACATCGTACTTGGTAAAACAAGAAGGTTGGCTTCCATTGTATGACTTTATGATTCTACTATTGTCAAGTGCCTTGTTGCTTTGATGTTGATAAAGTTTCCAGAGGATAGTAAACTGCTTTCTGACTTCCATATTTGTAAACTTATCTCCAAGTCTGTAGTGACTTTGAATAACTAAATTCTGTCCTCACTGTTGTTGATTCTCTGTCATTTGATATTTTGAATGCATTAAAGGTAAGACCCATCATCTTTGAAAATAAAATTACAGCAAGACCAAGGTAAACTTTTGTGCATTTTTTCAGGGATATGGAAGTGAGGTGGGGTTTGCCTAATGAGAGCCTGAAATAAACGTTTGGAACTCTGGGTCTGGAGACTTCAGACTCCACTTCCCAGAGCATACCCAGAGTTATCACCATCAGTTGTGTTTATGTTTATATTTTAGGAGAATAATTAATTTATAGGACAAGGTAATAATAATAGCAAATGTTTATACAGGGTTGGCTATGTGTCAGACATTTCTCTGAGAGTTTTGTTTTGTTTTTTTTTAAATTATTCTTAAGTATTTTATTGTTGTTTTTAAAAAGATTTTATTGGGGAAGGGGAATAGCCAAGTTGTTGTCCTTCAATCTTAGTTGTATGTGTGGGGGGTATGCAGCTAGCTCAGCCCCAAGTCCAGTCGCCATCCGGACGCCCATTGGCAGCTCACAGCTGATCAGCTCAAGGTGCCATATTCAATCTTAGTTGCAGGTGGGCAGAGCCCATAATCCCCTGTGGGAGTTGAACAAGCAACCTTGTTGTTAGGAGCACGTGCTCTCACCAGCTGAACCATTCTGCCACCTACTGGCAGCTCAGTGGCAGATCAGCTTGGGTGCAGCTCACTGGCCGATGTGGGAATCAAACCGGCGACCCTGTTGCTCAGAGCTCCTGCTCTTAACCAACTGAGCCACTAGGCTGGCCCGCTCTGAGAGTTTTAAAATATTAATTCACTCAATCCTCACAACATTCTTATGAGTTAGGTTCCATTATTATTCCCATTGTATAACAAGGCAACTGAGGCACAGAGCAATTAAGAAAGATCATTTTATTACATTAGTAAGGGATCGTATATCAAACAAAAATAAATGGGACCATTTAAAAATAATTAAACACAGAAATGATAAACACAAAGCAATTTGGAGAGTTAATATCAAGGAAAGAAGTTTTGCCAGAATTCCACAAACTAATTCTAATGGGGTCCATAAGAAAACGTACTCGTACATTGACATTAGGCTTCCTCCTGCCTCCAATTCTTATTGACATTTGTTGTTCTCTGAGGATAGCTGAGACTGAGAACTAGGCCTTGGGGCACCTGAATGCAACTTTGCCAGATCCCAAACACCTGTTAGATCTGGTTCCCAGGAAGGTTTTTTTTAAATTTTTTTATTGGGGAACAGTGTATTTTTCCTGGACCCATCAGCACCAAGTCAAGTAGTTGTTTCAATCTAGTTGTGGAGGGCACATCTCAGTGGCCCATGTGGGGAACAAACCGGCAACCTTGGTGTTATGTGCACTGTGCTCTGACCAACTGAGCTAACCAGCCGCTTCCCTACGAAGTTTTAAAGTTTTGAAATGCATCCTAGCATTGTTTCTAAGTCACTCCCTTGGTTGGTCTTAATAAATTAGACTGTCACTTTTTTTTTTTTAAAGATTTTTTTTTATTGGGGAATTGGGGGGATGGGAACAGTGCTGGGGAATTGGGGGAAGGGGAACAGACAAGTTGCTGTCCTTTTGCTCCTCAATCTAGTCGCGGAGGACGTCGCCTCACTGGCCCTAGTTGGCACCATCATTGCGCTCTTATCTGGCGAGGCAGATCAGTCACCGGCTTCTGGACGGCCGCTCACTGCGGCTGCTGGCCGCTCACGCTGGCTGCTGGCCGCTCACGCCAGCTCCAGGCCGAGCTGTTGTTCAGCATCTTAGCTGTGGAGGGCAGTGTCACTGGCCCTCATATGTGGGATCCGAACCAGGGCCCTCTAGCGTCCCAAGCCAATTCTTAACCATCGCGCCACTCGGCCGGCCCTAGACTGTCACTTTTTAAATGTCCTTCAACCTCCTTTCACTTGAGGTTCTAGAGTAAATTTTTCCTTTCACCCTCATGCTTCCTAGAAAATACTAGCTTTCTTAAAACTCACTGTTATTACTATTTTGGATACCCAAGTTCCACTCTGTTTCAGGCCCCACAACCTTTGCCAGGTCCATCTTTTGGTGAGGCCCTGGCCCGTTCCAAATCAGGCTATTGCCAGAGTATGTTGTCAGTGTGAGTGACAGTTTGGTGATGGAAGATCAGCATTGGACAACCAGGCTAATCAAAGTCTAAGAAGATTGTTGATTTATGTAACAAAATACCACGACCGAAATCTACAACATAATGAAGAACATGGGTTTGTTCCCCAACCAAATCTGGAAGTTGTGAGCAACCTTTGAAGCTCTGTAAGAGTAGTTTTGGGACTGATGAAAGGAAATCATTTCACACTGCCAGTAGTGTAGAACTAGTTGCCTGCAATAGGTTTTAAATTCAAATAGGTGCAAGAGCAGTTTAGAGAAATTCCTGAGTCATAATGAAGAAATGGTGGGCGACCTGAGATACAAACTCAGGCTCCCATAAGGGGCACAACCAGGCACAGTGCTCTTCTGACACAGGTCCTTGGAGCCTTGGCCAGAAGCAGAAATTCTGGCCATTGTACTGAGTGGCAGAGGTGTACGTGGGGGTGGGGAGCGGGGTGCAACTACCACATTGTTAGGGACCCTGAAACAAATACAGGCGACCTTCCAGAGGAGCTAACCTTCCTCAACATCAAGGTACTGACCTGCAGGCCTAGGGATTAACCCTGTGCCATTCCCTCCTTCCCCAACAATTGCAGTGTCCAGGTGGCTTTGTGAGTCACCCAGAGCCTCCGTAATAAACCCACTGTGGGTGGGGCCGCCTCGCAGTTTCTTGCCGCTTTCCACCCCATCTCGGCTCTCCTGTGATTTGAGCTCTCGCTTCTCTTCCAGTCAGAAGCCGACGGGAGCCCGCCGCACAGGCCATGCGCAGTGCTCCGCGGGGCTGCGAGCGCCAGCCCGCCCCCCGCCCCCGGTCCCTTTAAATCAGGCCGGCCGGTTGCTAGGCAACTGCGCGGCCCGCGCTGGCGCTGCACTGCAGAGGCTCTGCCCATGGCGGGCCTGGCCGGAGCGCGGTGGCCAGCGCCGAACTGAGGACTGCCGCCCACCCGTGGTGGCCGGCTTCACGAAAGAGGTCACAGGGCCCACTGGACCCCACCCATGCCTCCAGGTACGTCTGCGCGCGGGAAAGCCCGGCTCCCTGGGCTCGCCCCTCTTCCTGGGCGCACCTCGCCCACCTAGACCCCGCTGCGGGTTTCCTCCCCCTTTCAGAGCCCCAGGCTGGGAGGTCGGGAGCGTTTGGGAGGGAAGGGAACAAGGCGTGGGAGTCGGGGTGTGGAAGGAGGAGTGGGGTCAGATCTCGCCCGCTTCCTTCTCCCAGAGTGCGCCAGCCAGAGGGTAAGGACTGGGGAGGTGGACGGTGTCACCTGCGGTGAGGGCCGGGCAGTGCCCTGATCCGAGCCACCTTCTCTCCACTGGAAACAGTGATGGCAGGAGTTTTAGTTAACCATTTACAGAGAAAAACCCCACACTACGCATGCATAGATACAGCTTTATAGCAAGAATGTGACTTCCATGCTAATAAAGTACTCAGCCTTCAGAATTAAGGGGACTCTCTTTTCTTCTATTATAGAAGGAATCATTTCCCACTAATAACAAATAATTGGGGGAACAGTTGCTCACAGGGCCCTGTTTTCACTGGCACTTTGCTTTGCTCGTAGTATCTGCTGAACAACAGAGAAGACAGTATGTCCCGTGAAGTGGGTGCTTAGCTCATATGTTAGGACCCTGAAAGATTAAGGCACAAATCAGGGTCACTGTCCTTTTTAATGATTCTTTCAAGTTAACTGTGCTCTGAGGGGGCAAGGCAAGGCCTAGGCTCCAGGTCTTTGCTAAGGTGGCTCTTGGCATGCTCGTTAATAACAAGCGTGCTGCTCCTGCGGCCACCAGTGGTGTCTCATTTGTTCAATAGGTGCTAAAAGTGAGGAGATACTGTGTTTGACTACGATGCCACCCTGATTCTTGTCCCATTTGATATTTGCATTGCCTGGGGAAGGAAGACTTAGTGGCATAATAGTTGGGAAAGTGGGTTGACAAGTTAAAAGAAAACTTGCTTCAAAGCGTCTGGCATCACATTTCAGATGGGCCAAACGACATTCTAAGTATATCACTTGTCCTTTGAAGCTGCATCTCAGATAGAAACACAGATATGGGCATTCTGGTAGGTTATATTTTCTAACTATGCTAGGGGGATTTTATTTTTTTTAGTTCAAACTGGAGAAAGAGAACAACAGCATCAAATAGAAGACCTTGGACGTCAGGAAGCGTAAGTACAGTTGTGCTTTCTGATAGCTTGTTATGGGTGTATAGAAGCACAGAGCCTCGCCCAGTGTATATCTTCAACTTTGTAACTGTATCATTAATCTGCATTGTCAGTACACTATCAAAAATGCCTCATAAAAATACAAATGTGTCCTGAAGACTTGACCTGAGCCAAATAAAATTTTAGGGAAAAATAAAAGGCCTTTCCATAAAATGTCACCCCAAACACTTCGTAAGCCAGAGTACAAATTATAAGTATTTATAAAAACTCAATTAGAATCAAAGCATCATAGAATTTTCAGGAAGAATATTGAAGATCACTTATTCAACAAATATTTGTTGAGGGCTACTATGTATTAGGTAAGAGCTAGGGATACAAAGATGAATAAGGTGCCAGGAGATCCAGTGTATCAGGAAAATAAAAGTATAATATATATGTATGAAATGCTGTATAGGAACAGGAAAAAGAGTGCAGTGTCATCCTTGCTGATGTTCAAACTGATACTCCAATTGTAATTCTAAGAAGTTATCTGTGGCTCTGAAAAACACGAGCATTTGCAAAGTTCTTTGTAAAACAATTGGTGATAAAAATGCAAATAACTCCGGTTGTAGAAAAAACTACCACTTTTCCACTCAGAAAAAAATCAATTCAACTTCACAAATTTGGGAGCATCAGTAATTTACAGGATTTCGGACTAATTCTTCCTTGAGGGCGCAGCTTAAATTTATGTAAGATTTGAGTTTCGGTTCCCCTCTGCTTATCATACTACTACCTACATTTTTTTTTCAAACTGACTTTTTCTGAAGTCTGATGATTTCAGGCTGGCAATTTTGGAGTATTTATCTTTGGAAAAGGGTTGGATGCTTGAACTGGCTGGATTATGTTGCAAGGGATGTTAAGAAACACCTGAAAAAGACCTGAGACCCATTGTTGACAGTATACTTGAAAATTTCTTCCGTTTTCATTTTCATTCATTTCTCTTAACTACCTGTGAAACAGGTATATTGTCCTTAGTTTACATCTGAAGAAGCTGAGGCTCACAAAAGGTAAGTCTTCACATAGTTCTCAAGGGTGGAGATTAACATAACTAACAGTGTGGAGATTAACATAACTAACTCCTTCAGCCTCTCCACCCCCATCGTCTAGATTCAATTCCTTTCTTAAGAACTTCCTTTTCCGTCTTCTCCAGTTTTCAAACATGTTCGTCCACCTTGACTTCAGACAGTTCCTTTGTGTCCTCATTTTGGTATTTAATCGTTTTCTGCAAGGTAGTGATTCTCAAGAGGGTGATTCGCAAAGCTCCCCTAGATGGGGCAGGTTAGAATCTTCTCGAATAAGGAGACAGGATAATGATGGCAGTGTTTTGTGCCTGGGAACAGTGGAAGCAGAAAAATAGGTTGAGAACTACTGCTTTTAAGTGAGAAAGATTGGACAACTGAGCAAAGAAGCAATGCCAGTGACTTTTTTTGCAGCTGACTCCTTCCCCCCCCCCCTATTTTGGCAAAGCAGTTTTTCTGAGGGTTGGGAGAACTGAAACCATCAAAGAATAATAAGAAAAGTTCCCTGGGTTAAGAAGGGCCCTTTGTCTCCCCAATTACTGCCCCTGGGCTATGATTAAAAGCCATGGCTTTAGTTGAGAGGGTCTGAAGAGCAGAGAGTAGTGTCAGAAAGTTGCCTATCACAGGTCGGAGATGACCTTTTCCTACCATCATTCCCAATTTACAAAATTAGGGATGAAGCACCCTTGTGAGGTGGGAAAAAGCTTCTGGAGGTTTTCCAGAACTGTTTCTCAGTCCCTGCCTACCCTTGCCTGGAAGAATAATCTCTTTTTGCAGACAGATCTAAATTTATGCAAAAGAGGTGGTCCTGAAATTTTGAAATCAAATTCTAATGTAAATGAAATAAGGAAACAGGAAAAAGATCTTTGAATTTTATGTCATTAAATTTCCCTAAAGCATATGTTTTAAAATATGAATATTTTAGAAAACAAATAGATTTTACATATTTGATCACTTATCCACCGTAATATGAGTTTATTCCTCAGGGCCCCATACCTTGAAAATGAAAATGCGATGGTTTTGTGGGTTTCTCCTTTTACAATAAACAGTAGTATATTATTTTCTGTAACTATTTAAGGATAGATATGCATTTACCTAAGATTTTTATGGAACTATTTACCTAAAGATGCATAATAAATGATCACTCTTTGCTTAGCTCTCAACAGTTATATTATGTTACATCACCTTACATTATAAACCCATTTTCAATTGATTTTATCACTGCTTCCCAAATTCTTTAGGTAAATATAAATCACTTTTATGAGTCAGGAGCTCTCTTACTCCACCAAAATGCCATACTATTGTACTTTGCCACTGCAAAAAGAAGAAAGTGAGGGTATGGTGATATTTTAAGGGAGACACTAACTAGAACCATCAGGAGTCCATTATTAATTCATGTCAGACACAAATAAGTAGATATAGCCATATTATGGACACCTAGGCTTTAACATGCAGTCCCAAGGACTTCTGGGGGATCGCTCTCTTAGTGGACCACTAATGGTATTTTTGTCATATGACTTTATGTTATTTTTCTGTGTTCTGGCTTATTTGTTACTTTAAATTTTTCATTTCTCTTGGACCTCCTTTCCCTCCCCTTCAGTCTTTCTGCATCCAACATAGTGTTGGGTAGACACTTATAATAATAAAGGTTCACAATTGACCCACTAAAAAGGCATGCTTGTACTTTTAATAATGACTTCTGGTTTGATTTGCATTATGCTGCAACAAATTACCTAATCAAGTTTATTGAGAACACAATGGCTGCCACTTCAGGGTAGAGGAGAGTCATTGTTTCAAAGCATATTCCTTGCCTTTGCCAGAGAATACTAATGCTATACTTTTTCTTCATAAAAAACAAACAGTACAATTTGCAAAGAGAAAATGAGTGTCAGCTTTTAACCCGGGTCTGGGCTTTGCCATACTCTGAGTAGATTTGGGAACAAGCCCTTAAAGGGTATCTTGCCAATGAAAGAGAAGAGAGAGAGAGAGAGAGAGAGAGAGAGAGAGAGAGAGAGGAGCTCAGAGACCCCTTGACCCTGCCCTGTATCAGCCATGGGAGGGGAATTCCAAAAGGCTTTTCAAACCTTTCTCTTTCTGTTTTTTGATATGTGACATGCAATTTTCCTTACCCTCCCCCTTCCCCCCCTTCATTTTTCCTCTGTCCTTTTGTGGCCCTTTAAAAAATACCTAAGCTCTGAAAAGTGGGTTGTTTTTCTTTTGTTTTTTTTTGTTTTTTTTCAATTTGTGGAATGAAACCTAGCAGAAGAATAAAGAGGAATTTTAGAACAAGCACTGACCTGGGAGACAGGGTCTGAGTTTTACCATTACAGGCTGTGTGGCCTTGGTCAAGTCACTTAACTTCTCTGAGTCTCAGTTATAAAATAAGTGGACTCTTCCCAGTTATGGGAAAAGCATTAGCTGTATCAAGAGATTGTACAGAGGCTCAGGAAGAAAGGTAGTTAAATATATATATATATATATATATATATATATATATATATATATATATGTATGTATATATTTGACTGCTAAAAAATATGAGTGGCTATTAGCATCACCGTCTTTTCTGTTTCTTCTGTTCCTTTCCTTTACGAATGCTGTAATATTCTCCACACATTTGCATTCATACACGAGAGAGGAGAGAAACCCGGACTATAATTATCTTTCCCCCTTAAGATAGATCTTATGGGCTTCTGGACGGTGACTAATAGAAGAATAAATGTGGGCCGGCTGAGTGGCTCAGTTGGTTAAGAGCTCACTCAAGAGTTTGAGCTCTGAGCAACAGCGGTTCGAGTCAGCCCGAGCTGAGCAGCCGTGAGCTGCCAACAGGTGGCGGGATGGCTCAGCTAAAAAAAAAAAAAAAAAAAAAAAAAAATAGAAGAATAAAAGTCAAAAAGAACTATTTCAGGGCCGGCCGAATGGCTCAGTTGGTTAAGAGCTCGCTCAAGAGTTTGAGCTCTGAGCAACAGCGGTTCGAGGCCAGCCCGAGCTGAGCAGCCGCTAAGCTGCCAATAGGTAGCAGGATGGCTCAGCTTAAAAAAAAAAAAAAAAAAGAACTATTTCAAGAGAAAGGAGATGATGCTTCAATGACAAACCCATCCCATGAATTTCAAGTCTTAGCTTATTCCTCTGGTCTGATGAACTATAATAAAGCTTCGTTTATGGCTTTGGAGCTCATCGTTTTACCACCTTCACTGAATATGTGTACCTTTCCCGTTCCTCAAAGACAAGTAGCTGCAGTGAGGAATGTCTCCTTGTGGATGATAGTGAGTCCTTTCCCTCTGTTTTGGGGGGAGGGGGTTAGGCATATTCAGGACACATAGGTATGAAGTTTATTCTCTCATTGTCTGTAGCAAGGAAAATCTGTTAAAAATTCAAATTACTGTTGCTAAAACGAAAATACTGGAGAGATAAAATATGAAACAGTGGTTATCTCAGGGCCATGGGATTATAAGGGAGATTCCTTTTGTTTTCTGTATTTTCCAAAATTCTACAAATAACGTGCACCACTATTATAATCTTTATGTAATATGAACTATTATATAAAATATGTTGTCTATTAAATAATATAATACATTTATAATCTTTAATAATATTAAAGAAAATATTAATTAAAAATAAACAACAGTTGCCAGTTTTCATTACCAAGAAAAAAGTACATTTGTGTGCAAGGGAAAAATAGATGCAGGCATACTTTGATCTTTCTCAGTGGTTGTACTACAAATATATTATAGGAAATGGACATATAAAATGAATGAAGTGACCTTTGCTCCTTCCCACTCTAGCGGTCACTGCAGTTATCAGTTTGCTGCCTTCAGATGCCAGTGGGTCCTTCTTTCTCCCTTCTCCCAGAAGTAGTAACTGATCAAATATTTCTGTGCTTTAGGAAAGCTGTATGTTACAAATTCCTTTTGAATAGGGAAGATTCCTTTTGAAACAAAATACATGTCCTCTCATTTTTATGTATTTAGAAAGTTGGTTATGATTTAGCATGCTAAGTGTTCATCTAAAAATTATACTTGGAGTCAATATCTCGAGAAAAACACATTTGGTGGCATTAATATTTTCAATTGTTGACATTCGGTTCTCATCATGAAATTGCTGTCAAAACAGATAGAATTCTGTACACTTGGCAGCCTTGTCTAAACGCGAAGCCCAAGAATGGAATAGCAGGAATTTACAGGTCAAGACAGAAGGGCATTTGGCAGAGTTAGTCATGAGGAAGTCTGTGTGGTATACTTTACCCAAAGCATCTCATATTGCATTAAGACCTGATGTTTTAGTCACTTTAAAGAATGAATAAACAGTAGTCCAACCCAAAAGATCTAGAAAAAAACAGCAGGCACATTGAAAGCACAGGTATTAGCTTATTATTAGTAACCTATTAATTTTAAATCACACTCTTTGAAACCGTCTGCTTTCATGTGTATGGTTGCTTTCCCATGGAATTATTTTCTCTACAATAAATAGCCAAATGTGTCAGTTTGTTGGTTATATTTCCTAGGATCAGAGAATTTTAAAGCTGGTAGGGCCTGTAGAACTTAGCTAGTCTACTCCTTTCAATTTACAAACAAGGGAACTGAGGCCCAATTCACTTAGTGAGTTAGAGGGAGAGCCAGCCTTCAAATATTTAGGTTCCTTCGCCCATGAGCCAGCATTCTTAGTTCTTTCCACTACACTAGCTGCCAGTGTAAATAATGTGCCTTGATTTTAAATTTTGTTTTTAAGGAATTGGAAAAGGTACCTGAAGAAATGGATGCTAGGAGAAAACACTGGAAGGAGAATATGTTTGCTCCTTTTTTTAGTGCACAGAATGTTCTAAATGAGGCTTCTCAGCCTGCATCTTTTCCTGAACAAATGACTTTAAATAAAGTCAAGAGAATGGAAGGAATTTATAATTTGTCTAGTAGAAAGCTTCAAGAAGAGAATAAATGTAAGAGGAAAGAATTTATTTTCCAACTAAATGAAAAAGAACAAGAATCAAATATAAGAGAGAGAAAGATGAACATTTCAAAGAACGAAGCAGACATAAACTCCACCTCTTGTGAATCATCTAATTTGGATGTTGCAACCGAAGAAAGCTTCAATAGCACTGAACTCCATTCCATCTGGACTACAAAGGAATTACCAACTCTACCACGACAAGACAAGAAGATATTTACCAAAGGAATGTCTCCAAAACTTTGCCTGAATCTTTTGAATGAAGAACTGGAAAAACTCAATAGGAAGTGCAGAAAAATAGAAGAGGAATTTGAAAATGCCGAAAAAGAACTTTTGAAAACCAAAAAAGAAGTCTCCGCAAAACCCCGAAATTTTCAAGAAACAGGGATGGAAACTTTGAAGAAAGACTGGGAACTTCAAGCTTTAGGAAATGACCTATCTGCAAAAGCAACAAATGTCAAAAACTTAACTGTGGAGCTCCAGCAAGCCAAAGAAGTCATCCACAAGTTGAGCCTAGAGAACAGAGATTTAAAAGAAACTGTGAGGAAGTTAAAGCGTCAGACTGAGATTGGAAATGCACTCCTAGAAGAAGACATGAAATTGTATTATGAATTAGAAATGGAAAATATCCACAGAGAGCTGAATGCCATCAAGAATGAACTGAGAGCTGAGAAGACCCTGCAAGCAAGGGACTTGGAGTTGCTTAGAAAACACTTTTCTTCTCTAACGTCAAGTACCCTTGACAGCTTTACAGGGGATTTTTTTTTAAAACATAGAAAAAATTTTCTAAGAGCCTTTCATTAGGCAAATCATTGAGCCAAATCAGTTTTTTTGTGCTTTCTTTGTGTACTACTGAAAATGTGTGTAATGGGATGTAATTTTCATTTTTGGTGAATCAGGATATCTGTAAAATGTATAGATGTTAATAACTTCAAAGCTTCTGCTATCTCTAATGAAGTTATTGCAAGAGTCCAAATGGAAATGAAGCTTCAGAAATCTCTTTTTTTTTACTGTATTTCACTCAAACCTGTAGTGATTTACCAAATCATTTATGAATAAATATCAACATCCATTTTGTGATCTTGTGAGCATTATGTCCTTGGCACATGAATGAATATTCTTGTGTTCACTGATGTTAACAATAAAAATCTTGTTTATGCGTATAAGCATAACATGTGTCTATGGGTCTTATAGCTGCCTGTTCAGACTCAATGGGATACTAAAAATGTGTCTGCTTTCTTTGAGATCTAACCTTAATTAGGCACATATAAATATCTCCAGAGAAAATGCAGATTTTTCTCCTCCCCACTGTTTTCCCTGTGCTTTCTCCTTTGACCTGGACACAGTTCCCATAGATTGGAAGACGGTTTAGAGACATGGCTGTGACTTTTGCTAGAGCCCTGATTTTGTCAGCAGTGGCTTTTGCATTTTCTTATGTTGACCACCAAGGGGCGTTGTTTACACAGTTCTTCCAAAATTCAACAGGGGGAAATTTATAGCCTTTGTGCCCAGCTTACATCACCAGCTGGCTGGGACTGGGGTGAATGGTGTTGGGTGTCAGCTAGGTAGGCTGTTAGTGAGCTGGCTTGATTTATACAGGAATCCAGCCCTGTAAGGGGCCTGGGCAATGACAATTCATTTTATAGAGCACAAAAATGTACTGCCTCATTCCTTTGGTGTTAAAGATGGGCCAGTGAATTCTTTGCATTTGTTTGTATCAATCATCAAGATTTCTTATAATTGGAGCTCTATTTGCATGGTATTTTTAAGTCCAATGAACCAAATGTAATTACAGACTGAGGGTGGGATACAATTGTAAGGGTTTAGGTATCTTCCCAGATAGAAAATCCCCAGACTGGGAGGCTGGACACTTGGGTTCTAAGACCTGCTTTGCCATTAACTAGCTAATTAAAAGCCCTCATCTATAAAATGAGGGAGTAGGTCTGTCATCCAGATCTGTTCACTTTAATGGTCTGTGATTTCACTGCAGTGATTTTATTTGCAAGTATAATTGTACCTGTGAAGAAGTAAAACTCCTATGGCATGGGATGCACTCGGTTGTGTTACTTTGGAGGACCTTACCCTTTCAAAAGAAAAATACAAAAGCTTTCAAAAAACAGATTGAGCATCTCCAAATACTGTGCTAATATTAATCAAGAGAGGTAACTAATGAGGTTCTTTCTTCTTTCAGCTGTTTCCTTTTTACTTCTTAAGGTCGGGGTGGCACTAAATGGAGAAAAACTAAGCTGACCTGGGGGCTAAGCAGGCTCTCCTGGCCTGGGAAGATTGGACTAAATTGGAAGATAATAATCTCTGGCATTTTCTGACTTAGTCCTGATAACCCAGGCACTGGCAGCCTGCTCAAAGGGGAAGATCACTGTCAGGTTTTTGGTGGTCACTGGCTTCCCATCAAGGGTATAGGTCAAAGGCTTAGGAACTCTTTACCCTTATTGCCTGTTTTCCTCATCACCCCCTTAAAAATTATCCTTTTGTCCTTGGCCCAGGAAGATTCTCAGTCCCTGACCACTAGTGTGCAGAGCTACTTACATGTTAAAATATTTCACAAATTATATTAATTAAGCCATTGGGGTCAATCCTCTTAGTATATGTTTCAATTTTTAAAGAGGAGTTTTTACACCAGGAGAATTTCTATCAACCAACCACCCATCTAAAGTCTTCCGTGACAACTTGTTTTATCTTGCATGAGTGAGTATGTATGCTTATGTGTGCTTGAAGGGCAGGGAAGGAGTGTGGTAAAGGGAGATCCAGAAAAGATAAGTGCGTGGCTTGGCCCAGCTCTGGAATGGTGGGGGGTTTGCATTTCTAGCAAGGAACTGGAAACAGCTTGAGATGCTGAGCACCAGTGAGGTCCACCCTATGGCAAGGCCCTATGGAAAGCCTAGGTCCAGCCACTAACCAGGGAGACAACAGACAATCACCAAGTCCAGAGGGCCAAGGAGAAACAGAAGCCAAGGCAACAGAGCCAACAGTTTGGAGCTGGGAAGGGATCAGATCTTTTGATACTTTTAATTTTAAAAGCAGGGCTGCAGCAAGCTGGGAGAAGGCCGGGCAGTTTTTCTTGCTGGGCAAATGGTAACAGCACTGGGTTGAACTGGCTTAAAGAACCAGAATCAAGGCAAATACTCCATCCCATTGTCTCCTCATCATACTTCTTGCAATAAATGGCCCCCAATTTTTATCAGAATTTATTATCACTGTACCTTTTAGTATACTGAATTGGAAATGTGGAGGTGTTGTGGGTTTTGTTTGTTTGTTTGATTTTTACAGGAATGGCACATCAGGTCACTCATCCCTTTAAGCTGTTGTGTAAAATACTTGAAAGCAGCAATGCAGTTGCACACCATTCCCCACCAACTCCCAGTTCCTTACTTATTAAGAAGCATGCGCTGTCACAGGGCTCTAGGAATATCTGCTCCACCTTGGGTTTACAATCTAGTTCTAGAAACATTTGCTGAGTACTTATTACCATAGTTAATCACTTCTAAGACACACTTTAAAAAAATGTTTTGACATCCCTAAATTTGTGACACATCTTGATATCGATGGCGTGTCATAGTATAATTCTCAGTGTTTTTTTTTTAAATCTTTCTTAATGGCTCATAAAATAATGGTGTATCTTACAATCAGTGGGGTTTTAGATTTGATGAAATGTGGTATGTGCTTGGCTGGGGATGTGAGGATAAAAGGATTTATGAATAAGACAGGTCTCTGACCTCAGTGACCTTACTTATATGACTAACTAAAGCAATGTGGTAAGTGCTATACTAGCAGTGCTAATGCAAAGTGCTGTGGGAGCAGAGGAGCTCAATTAATTCTGCCTGTGGGGTTGGGAAGGACTTCATAAAGTAGGTGACATTTGAGATGAGCGTTGAACGATAAGAAGGATTTTTCCAGGCCAGGCATGGGGGCAGGGGCGGGGGCATTTCTGGAATGTGAATGTGGAAAGTCTATTTGGCTTCAAAGAGGACTCCTAACAGCAATGAATTAGAACACTGGGACGTTACATTTTGCTGACTTTTAAAGTCCCATTTGAGGTTCGACTCTGAAAACTGTGGTTCCAACTTGTTTGCTTATTTGCATGTATACTGGAAATGAGGTTCTCATGACAAAGACCAGGTACCAGATAACTGCAGGAAAAAAATTTTTGCTGATGCCACTGTACCTTTGGCTGCCATCATTTCTGTTTTGGAAACAAATGCCCTGAGAGATTTTGGTCATAATATCCAGCTAAGTCCACTGTAAGCGGTCTGGTTTCAAAGAGATGTACGAAAGAGAAACACCACAGTTGCTTCTCTCTCCAAGGAAGCACAGTACTCGTATAACAGAGATTGAGGGCACAAACCTTGATTATCCACTTACTAGCCGTGTGATCTTGAGCAAGTTGTATAATTCCCAGTAGCTCAGTTCCCTCATTTTGTAGGATGTGGTTAATAAATAGTATTGTTGAGAGAATATGATGAGATCACATATAGTCAATAAATGTCACCATTGTTCTCAACATCATCATCATCATCATCATCATCATCATCATCATCACATAAATGATAAGGGGAAATTGACCCAGTCCATCTGCCTCCTCCCACCTATTACTCTCACCAAGCTTTACACATATTGTCCCTCAAATTGTGTTCTCTGGAGAGGATATGATAAACTCATTCATAATATATGTATCCGTGATATGTGACATGTTTGGGAAGGTGGAATAAGTTGCAGGGAAGATATTTTGATTTTATTAGTATATGAAGCCTTGAGGCAAAGTAATGAATCTGTCATGATGGACTTTCTGGCCTCAAGGCAGATCCTGTAAAGGACATTTTCTTGGGTCAGAGCGTACCCAGCCTCCCTCCAATCAGGTTGGTTTAACGCTGGCCTTGGCCCTGGCAGGCAGAAGGAGATAAAAAGCCCTGCTCTAGTGCTCCAGTGGGAAAAAGCTCATCTTGGAAAAGGGAATGGAGACAAGAGAGGCTATTATAGTATTTTCCATTTCTCTTTGGCACAGGGAGCCATGCAGCTGGGGACACACTACTACAGCTGCTCAGATAATAATAAGTCATTGTCTTGTTCTTTGTACTCATAAGACACTAAAGCTGTAGTTCCCCATGTATTGTAGGTGTGCCCTCCTTTCCATACTGAGTATCAAGGTGATGTCTCCCGTTTAGTGGCCAGAGCTACTTTTCAGAGTCAGCGCGCTTTCTCTCCCTGTCTCCCACACACCATTGATCAAACCCAGCCGTTTGATGTTTGCTACATTTCAGTGGGCTCAAGTTGCCATTTCCCAGGAGATGGGGATATACCTGGTTTTCTAAGGATGTGTTCTGGGGTATCCTTGAAACCTTTCTTTTGTCATTCAGCCCGTGCCTGTTCACTCCACAATAGGTGTTGTCGTGTATATTCCAGACCATGATAGGAGACATACCTGAGCGAGTCTCCTCATGTCACTAGTACTATAGCTTGCATTTGGACTGTTGGTTAAAGCCTAGTTACAAAACGTTATTATGTGTCACACATTTCCATGTACGTCATCTTATGTAATCTGCACAAAAATACTTGATCATTAGATGAGGAAACAGAGGTTCAGAGATATTAAATGACTTATTCAATATCGCACAGGTAGTAAGTGGTGAATCTGGGATTCAAACCCATCCTGTCTAACTCCACATATGATGCTTTTTCCATTATATTCAGCCACCTTTTGTGCTAAAATTAATGAGCCGAATGTTCAATCACCATGAAGGTTATTTAACTTTTTCAAAGATGAACTGGTTTATTACTGCAATCTGAACTCCTTGAGTCAGCCATCTCTTAAATTGCTGAGATGAACAGTGAAGATGCATCTCATTTATTGGAAAGACCATCAAGTTTTCATATCTTCTGATGGTGGGTTGTTAGGTCGACATGAGGATGCAGCAGCCTCTTCCTATAGCAATGAAATTGAAAATGATGGTGACCAAAAAAAAAGTAAATTGAAACATGAAGCCCATTTGACAACTCCAGCCCTGATGCAACCAAATTAATAAACAACCAGGACTCTGATCAACACTCATTGTGTGT